TTGATCTCTGTAACTGGGACTTACTTTTGGAGAATTAAAAGTAGGATGAATATGTAAAATGTAGGCACTGTAGTAATGCCTCACACATAGAGTTAGCCACTGAATGGGAACAACAAATACCTAAAGAGTGAAGCAGATAATTGATGGGAACAGATCCAAAAGGATTTTTATGCAGAAGATAAGATTTGAAATGGACCTTAAGTGAAAGACCATTCTAGTATCATCTGCCTAGAACATATGAATGCTTAGTTGTTTTTTAATTTATCTTTTATTTCAGTGATTGATTTTATCTAAGTCAATATTATTTAGAAGGTCAGTAAGTCAGCAAAATTAAAAAAAAATCAGTTCAAACATAGTTAGATATTTGTGCCTTGTCCATAGCTAGACCAATAAATATTTGTGCTGAGCTGGAGACACAGGAACAGTGTGGACTTGGAAACTAACAACACTAGCTTTTGATGTCCCCAAACTCTGTGTCATATAGTTTTTGTTTGTCCAGATCTTGTCCCCACCTAGGAATAAACTTCTAGAAACATCATTTTTAAAAAGCTTAGTTCAAAAGTTCAAGGTTGACTTCTTAAAAAAAAAAAAAAAAAAGGAAAAAGAATGAATAAATCTAAGATCAATTAGGGTCAGTTTAGATACTTGCAACACCAAAGTGTACTAAGGGACCCCTCTGCTCTTAGGAGGGGATGAGTTACTTCCTCAACTCAATGGGAGCCAAGTGTTTGCAGGACTCTCTCCGGCTGGGTTGAGAACAGTTGTCTGGGAGGTTGGTCTGCACTTTGTGGCAGAGACAGCATGACAGGAATTACAGGACTCCTGTGATTGATTTCTCCCCTTTTTTTAAAGGGAGGAAAAAACAGTGTTCTAAGAGAGACACAAGGCTCAACAAGTTGAATTTGGGATTTATTCCCGGTATTACTTGGATTTTCAAGAATTTTTGGAAATCTTGCTTTTTTAGCCACAGCTCTCCTCAGCAATATGGGTTATTCGCCAAATTCATTTCAAGCTCTTGAATTTACAGTTAAAAGAGAAATAAAAAAGTCTTTCATTTGTTCTTAAACTGTTTATTTGGCTTGTAAAACCAATCATAATGTCTACCCAATAAAAAAAGAAATGCATAAACGTTATAACTCCAGAAAAGTTAACTGCTGAAGCCTGAAATGCCCACCCACCCCCCTCATCCCCCAGAGAAAGCCAGAAGTCATTTTAATGAGACAGAGTTTTCTCTTTGAACTTGGGAGGGTACAAGGAACAAACTTGAGGAGAAAATTCTCCCTTTTATCCTTTGCTAGAATTCTACCTCTTAGGACAGACTGTGGCAATGCTTGGGCTTGACCTAGCTGGTCTTTTAAGGCCTGAGTAGCTAACAGTTCTGTAGTTTTGGAGCACAAGGACACTGCCTAAAGCTAGTGTGGGGTGACATGTGGTGGTTTGGTATTGACTGTGGGTGTGCTTGAACCAGGCCCCTCCTCTACCCTGCTCTGGCTCAGGAGCACCACCTCTCACGTTGGCTAACAACCTCCCCTCACCCCCTCCAGGGCTGACTGCAGGCTGGCCATCTGTGAGTTTGGAAACACAGATACTAAAAAGGCTATGAAAAGGACTCCGCCTGCTCCATTAAATGCCCAGAGCAAGGCTGATATGCACAGAGTGGCAAAATCCTAACGGAAATGAGGCAAAACACAAAAGCCAACCCAACAAGGTGCATCACCTGATGCATTTCACGGCTACTAAGACCAGCACTGGCCATATGGGATCCAGTTTTGAAAAAAAAAAAAAGGACACAAATCAAGGGTTTTGTTTCTTCGGGTTTAAAAACTTTTCATCACTTTTTCCTCCTAGCATGAAAATACAACACTAACTACTTTACCAGGAGAAGCCAAAGTGTTTGAAAAATAATTTCACCCCCTGCCAACGCCTGCTATTGAGATCAGTGTCAGTTCTAATTTGTTTCTGACTCTCAAAATAGGTTTTTTTTTTTTTTTTCTCATTGGGGATTTTCTTCTTATGTGAAATACCAAGGCAGAGCATCTGTGACACCAACAAACAAATAAGTAAGTAAATTAAGTTTATATGTGGGAGCTATGCTCTTGAGGACCGCTTTCCTTCTGGACATGCTTACACTCTCCTTGGGGTGATTCATTTCACTCTGTGGAGAGAGGAGAGGACGCAGCCTACAGCTTGGTGGTTGGACTTTCCCAAGATGGGGCAGAGACCACAATTTTAGCTTCATCTTGAAATGACACACATTAAAATACATTCTTTTTATCTTCAAAACACAACTTTAAGTCTTCATCCCTTAATTCTTCATGTGGGGGGATCATTTTTATTACTCATCAAACCCTCTCTGTGACTCTTTTTACTAGCTACCTACCACGTTACTGAAACTGAAGCATCAACTTGCCAAAAAAAAAAAAAAAATCAAACAACACAGAAACACAAAACCAAACCAATCTCCAAAACAAAGTCAGAAAGGAGAATGCGATGGGTGCTCCCAACATGTTCTCAGCCTTCCATGTTGTGGGGGAACCTGAACCCCTCAATTCTCCCTCATTGATTGAAAGTATGTTCTTGATAGTGCAGCAGAGAAGTACCAGAATGAAAAGAGGCTCTTGGATTGACAAGGATGTATTTCTTCAGCTAACACATTGGAGCAATATTTTAGACTGGGATGGTTACACAGGGGTGTCAGCTGTAATAGCAAAGGAGCCCAGTCTTCTGTGCTTTTCTGGCACAACTCAACCACTTGTTCAAGTATGTCCTTGGGAAAGTGACTTAACTGCTCTGAGTCATATTTTCCTCGTGTACAAAATGACCGTAATAACCCTTGTTCTGTGTGTTTGCTGAGAAGAGGTAGTGAGGTCAAGAACGTCGAAAGCTTAGCACCATGCGTGGCACATAAAAAAGCCCAACTGATATGAGCTGTGATTGCACTGGGCTGAAGTCACAACTCATTGATGCCTTCTTGCAGAATATTCTTGCAGATCTATTTGCATTTCAAAACGCAAAGCAGTGGGATAGAGTTAGCTGAGCATTAGTTTCACAGAAGTGCTTTTAATCTCATTCCTGCACACATAATCTTTGCCAATTCACCAGCTTCTGCCTCTATTAAGCAACATGGCTTCCTCATACACCTCCCAGGATTATTTAGGGACTGAATGAGATGCCAAAATTAAATTACTCTCAGTTAGTATGGCTTTTCTCCCTGTACTTTTTTTTTTTTTAAAGATTTATTTATTCATGCATAGAAGAGCTGGGGTACAGGCCAGAGGTGTGAGGAGTGAGAAGATTCACCAGAGACAAAGTGGGGAGCAGAACAGGCAGATTGACTAAAATACACTGCTGAGGGGAGCAGTGGGCGAGACAGGAGAGGTCTGCTGCACCATGTGGGTCACCTTCCTGGCTGGGGATTGAACTTATGCTGCAGTGATTGTGAATAGTTTCACAGTACTGACACCTAACCCTTTGTGCCAAAAGTACAGGCCCTCCTCTACTTTTTATTTATATGGGCAGAGGTAGCTTTAAAACTCCCATGACTGATAAAGTCCTTTTATATATTTGCTTTGTGTCATCTTTTTAATGAACCTCTACAATAAATCAGAGTCACAAGAAAAAAAAGGTATCCTGAAACTACAATTAGTTGATTATTGTGTAACCACTTCTGTCAATGTGATTTGCAAGATGGGGACAAGAGAAGACTTACACAATCAGGTTAATGCAAGAACCCGATGAAAAAGTATACAACTGATGCTTAGAATAGTGCTTGACACACACTAAATGTTACTATAATTGCTAGCATTTTTATACTTGTGATTAAAATATGTTATTAACAGTCTTTAAACTTCATTTCACTACTTTGCTCAAATCACCACTCTTTTATAAAGCATTTTAGCACTAATTAGATACAGTTTGTGATACTAATTACATGGTTTCTTTGTCTATACTTGCTTTACCATATATGCTGTACTGTTTAATTTTATGTGTCAATTTGGCTAGGCTAAAGTATCCAGTTGTTTTGCTAAACATTAGTTGAGATGTCGCTGTGATTGCCATTTACATTATCCTCCATTATGTGGGTGAGATCTATCTACTCTCTTGAAGACCTTAACAGCATAAACAGGCATTCCAGAAAAGGAATTCTGACTTAAAACTGTACCATAATCTACTACTTGATTTTCCAGTCTGCTCAAAGGATTTTAGAATTAAGACTGAGATAGGAACTGTTACCTGAATTCCCAGTCTGCCAATCCAGCCATACTTATCAGACCCCACACTTGGGTGACTCAATTCCTTAAAATATATCTGTATCTATGTCCATATCCCTGTGTATGTATACATGCATGTATGCATGTTTGTATGTATATATCCATCTATATCTATCTCCTCTTATTGCTATTTTTCTGGAGAGCTCTGACATTGTATAGCTATGCTATGTTTCTTCAACTATAGCAGAGTTGGCAAAGTAGAGCTTACTTGCTAAGACCCTGATGCCACCTATGTTTGTAAATAAAGTTTTACTGAAACATAAACACGTATTGCCTGTAACTCCTTTTGTGCATTAAGTAGCAGAACTGAGTAGCTACCACAGATCTTATGACCCACAGAGCTTAAAATATTGGCTATCTGGACATTTATAGGAAAAGTTTACTGATACCTGCAATAAAGTAAAAGCTATATGACATTAGAGCACATGCCTCTTTTTGTAAGGGAAACTTTGTAAGCCTCAAGTATTGCTAAAACACTGCTAGAACAACCAAAAGAGCTGTTCCTGAAGAAAAAAAAAATGAATGAAATAAGTGACTTCTCATAATGATGCTTAAAATGTTTACCTGTGTATGGACAAAGCAGCTAAACACAATATTTTTGCTGAATGCATGAACTTACTGTTTTTCTTGTCTTATATCTCACTCTGGAACCTACAACAATATCCTATATTACTAAAAGTTTAATTACCACTTGAACCTATATTTTGCTCTTAGAAAATAATCACTCACCAACAGGGTGGAAGTAGGCTGACCTGAGAAATCAACATAAACCTTCTTTTGTAACAGAAGAATCTGTAAGTTCCTGGTAAGAGCAAATAAGAAACTCCTCAGAACATTTTCTCAATGATTATGTCCTAAGGACAGAAGTATACAAACAGAAACACTGGAATTTCAATTGCAAACCCTCCTGGTTGCTTAGGAAAAATTATGTTTTGCCTTCAAGTCCCAATTCACATGTCATTCAGTGACTTTCAGTCACTGAAACCTCCTCCCCATCTCCAACACCCCTTTCCTATACAAGTTTTTGTTTCCTTTGTTAATCCCTGTAGACTAGGACCTTCATGTTGCATTATAGTTACCTTTGTATCTTCTCCTCTTTTTTTTGGAGATGAACTGCTTGAAGGCAGCAATCATGTCTTATTTGCCTTTGTGTCTTCTGCGGGTAACTTAAAAATGTCTCCTGAAAGTAAAAGAAATAATAATTTTCATTAACCCTTGTGAGGGATACAGCACTGACATTACTTTTATGAATACTAAAATTCAATGAAGAACATTCAAGGTTCTTGGGAATGTAGTTAAAGTTTGGACGACAACTGAGGGCTAGAAATAATGCTTGATAAATGATAAGAAGAAATAGTATAGACAGAAAGCTCTGTAGTAGTTCAGGAAGCCAGTCTGGCTAGCTCACAGAAGGGGAGTGGTGGAAGATAAGACTAGAAAGTTTGGAAGACTGGGTGGAGCCAGATTAAGGATAATTTAGGAATGTGGGCTTTGTCCTATAGTAAGTTAATGGGAAACCACAGATGCTTTCTGTGCAGAGGAGTTAATACAACCAAAGATCTGGTTTAGGATTATTAATCTGGGAACAATACATGTAATGAATAGGGTATGGAAAAACAGGCGAAGACAGGGAGGGTAAAGGCTTGAAGGACTATGGCCATGATCTAGGATGCATGATAAAAGCCCAGGCCAGGCACTGGAAATGAAAATGAAGAGAAACAGAAGAAAGTTTAGTGGTAACCTCAAGCACCTTTTTTTTTTTTTTTAAAAAAAAAAGAGAATTAAATTCATTAGTGGAAAGTCATGATAAAAATGTGAATTATTCATAAGGTAAGGACACTGTCAAGAATCAAACAAGTTAGATATTGATCAGATATGATAAAATTACTATTTTCCTTAATACTCTGCATTCTTTAGTAAATGAGGAAAGAGATATTTACCCAGACCAAGTCAAAATTTTTCACAAATGTCCATGTAACGTGATTTGCCTAGTAATCTTTAGCTAGATATTATAAAAGAATTGTTTTAGTAGGACAGCACTCTAAAAATGGGGAAAGTATGGAGATCACATGTGGCTCCATTTCATAAATTCCAGGTTATGGACAGTTCAGATATTGAAAAAAAAATACTTCAGAACTTGAACAGAGTGCCAAACTGAGTTGGGATGTTATTGTCCTTGGTGTTGGATTAGCAACTGCCATAGTTAGGCAAAACTATCATTATAAAAGAATGCAAAAATTCTGTGTCTATAGAAATATGACATTCACTCTGTAGCTGAAACTCAGGCTTTGCCAAGTTGATGTGGTTTAAGATAATAACTAACTCAGTTCTTTTCTTCCTTTACCTCATTGCAAAGCTTTGTATATATCAAATAGTGTTCTTTTTTTTCTCTGTCTCTTTATCAGCTGGGAAATCCAAGAATACCATTCTTAGCCTTTGAGTAAGTTCTTAGTCATCTATGGAAGTCAGAGATAAAAAGCTTTGGAATATATTCATGACATTCATTTTTTCTTCCTCAACATCCCATAGCAATTTGAAGTGTCCTTTCTGCATTGTCATCATAAATGACAAGATCATAATCAGTCTGGAGTAGCAGCTCATCTCCTGGAGGGAAGTTTGTGATATAACATGTACCTTAACTAGAGTATGGAAGCTGTGGCTGTTTATCCAATAGCTACTCTCCTCTTGGGGTAGGTGGTGCAGAGGGACTCAGGTAAATTTCTTTGCAGACTGAGGTAAGAGAAGCACAGAATTGGCAGTCAAGCTGGCCAGAATCCTGACTCATTCTAGACCATCTAAGAGTCCTGTCCTGCATGAGTTTGCCAGGGCTGCCATTACAAGGCACTACAGACTGGGTGATTTAAACAACAGAAATTTATTCTCTCACACTCCCAATGGCTAGAAGTCCAAAATTAGGTTGGTTTCTTAGGAGACCTCTCTCCTCGGCTTGGAGAGGGTCATCTATTCCCAATGTCTTCACAAGGTCTTCCCTTTGAAACTGGGCCCAAATTACCTCTTATAAGAACATCATTCACACTGGTAAACTTAATTACCTCTTTAATGATCCTGTCTCCAAATAACGTCACATTCGAGGTATGGAGGTAAGGGTGTTAGGATTTCAACATATAAATTTTGGAATGACTCAATTCAAACATTACATGTACCCTTAGACACATTTCTCAGCCTTTCTGTGTCAAGGTCATTTATTTGGAATAAACGGACACACATCTGAAGAACTGCAGGTGTTGACTGGGTGGTAAAGATCAAGTCAGATATCACCCAGAGGTCTTTGCCTCAGCATAAACATAGACATAGAAATCTTTGTTTTCCACCTTTAAAGCAAAGTTTGTTGTTTTTTAAAATAACACTAAGCTTATTTGACATATTCATATTCAAAGTTTATAATTAAAAAAAAATCTTGTGTTTCTCAGTGGAACTGCCAAAAGTAGCATATTACAAATACAGGGCTATTTATCTAAGTTGGCTCTATGAAAACAAGATTTATTAGAATGCTCACACTTGGAGATTATTGCAAACCAAGATGGTATCGTAGCCCTAAATGCCCCAAAACAAACAAATAGATCAAAAAGTTGTGGTATATTTACACAATAGAATATTACTCAGCAATCAAAAAAGACAAACTCATGCAATTTGTGGCAACATGGATGGAGCTGGAAGGGATTATGCTAGCCAAAATAAGTCAGAAGGGAAAAGATAAATATCAGATGGTCTCATTTATATGTGGAATATATAGAAATGAAACAAAATGTCAAGAAAAAATCCAAGTTAGAAAGAAAATTGACTATAAATCTGAGGCATACAGTAAGGGAGGGGGAGGGAGGGGTGTGAAAACAAGGGAGGGAAGAACACAAAGGAATGTGGTGATGATTCACAGGTGATACAGTGGTGGGAGAACTATGGGGTCTATAAAGATATAAGAAAAAAATTTTAATTAAATAAATAAAAACACAGCGATCTTCCTGCCTCTACTTTGTTCCTTATCTCCTGTTCTATTTGAGAATGTGCCTGCCTCGTGATCACTGATCTTGGTCTTTCCTTGTTTCATCCGAGGACTGAATCCTACCTAATAAAGCTTAGGCTTCAAGGACCATACCTGCCATGGCAGTTTGCCCTTCGCTCCAGACAAGACTTGCCAGAAACTCTGAGAACAGTTGGGACAGGATGGGAAGAAGGGAGAGAGAGGATGAAAAAGAAAGAAGATGGAATGAAAATGCCAGGGGAAATGAGACAGAAGAGATGGTGATAAAAGGATAAAGGAAAAGACAGGAGACAAGGAAGAGGGAGGGAGAATCGGCCATGGAGTAGTTTCTCATTATTCTTTTCCTGTGAGTTACAAGAGTGCAGGTTTTTTTTTTTTTTTTTTTTTTCTCATTTACTTAAACCCCATTTAGTGGGGGTCGCAATTGTATGGGGAATATAAAAATAAAATTTATAATAAAAAAAAAAAGAATGGTTTTGGTCCCACACTCTTTAGAGAAGTTGCAAAATTTTGACTCAAGAGAACATGACTAAAATTGTTTCAAAGAAGAAATGTTATGATGATGCTCTTGGCTATGAAAACGCCAAGGTGAGGTTAGTTCAGGGAGAGATTTAATGGAATAACCACACCTTCCCACAGTCTCTGAACTGACACAGCAGCTATGCTGCTAAAACAGACCACACAAAGCTCCCCAGAAGGTGGTGACCCAAGAGCTTCACAAATAAGAATGATCTGTGACTGCCAGTCATGCTGAAAAGAAATGAAAATTCTTTGAAAAGAAAAATTAAGGCTGTGTTGTCAATTCTCTAATCCTGGATCAGAGTATTTTGATAATCACATAAGGAGTAAATTTCATATTTTTGTTCAAAATTTTAAGTGGAAATCCAAACAAAATTTTCTTAATGTTCGAGACAAACATCTACCCATCTCAACACATCTCCCACTTCATTTACTCCCCACACTACTACATCTAACACAGTAAGGACCGAACAGGGGTCTTTACTTAAAACAAGAATTACCCTAACTTTAAAAGCTCCAACAAATTAGATCTTGTATATTCCAAAGATGGATTTTTAGTTACAGTTTCAGCAAATGTGAACTAAGTTCTAGGCTGGGAACTAAGGAGATAGTCCTCCTTAAATGAATTAGAATAAAGTTTTTAAGGTGCTGTCATTATTACTTCTACTCCAATAAAGAATCTATATTTTAAGAATCTGAAGTATTTGTAATTAAATATAAAAACAATGATGATCAATGTTACATTTAAGATTGGGCAAATTATACTAGAGTACAACTAACTAAGCTTCCTCCTTAGCAACCCCCCACCCCCACCCCTAGCCAAGCACATAACAAGATTGCCCATTTAAATGGACTTTTCTACTTCAGGGCTGGAAAGTGTTGTGGGTACAACCACTTAAGGAATCTTCAGGGTGGGTGCAGCTGGTACAAGATATTTCCAGTCACTCAAACATGCTTGGAGGGCAATTTGTCCTTTGTCTACTACTATAGAAATGGTCACAACTGAGCTTCATGTAACCAACTCAGCACATTAATGATTTCTCTTCATTTACTTTGTAAATCATATGAGCTGATACCCATTGCTCACAGCTAGAGCCTCCCACCAACATTTCTGTTTTTGCCGTTGCATTTATTGTATGCTTACCCAGAGTTTGTTATACTTGCTCCAAATTATGTTTGTGCCAACTGTACTTGTTCCTGTAATTAAGTAGTGCGTAAAACAATAAAATAGGAGCCCTGAAGGAGAGTTGCAATTTCTCTGAAAACTA